TATAAACAAAATGGGTTAGATTTAAAAAAATATTATTAGCATCAAAATAAATATTTGGATATGATCAATTAAGAGAGAGACAATTTGAAGTAGTAGAGTTATATTTAAGTTATAAAGATATATTAGTATTAATCAAAATAGAAGGAGAAAAAACATTTTGTTATATAATTTGTATATTACTTTTTAAAGGAATAACAATACAGTTATAAGTCTATTAAAAGTTTTAATGAAAAATCAAAAGTAGATATTATTTAATAATTAAATTTTTAAAGTTATTTCTAACTTTTTATTATTATTAATATTGAGAGTTAATAAATCTTGGTATACTCTGTACTTTAATTTATACAAATACAATATAAGGCAAAAATGTATAAAGCAATATTTTCAAAGAAATTGCTCTTGGATTTATGAAAATAATTCTTATTACTGCTGAAAAATTGTGCTTTAATAAGGAATTTAGATCTTTTATTAATAATTTGTATAATCAATCAAAAGTACATTTGTAATTGATGATGCTTATTGTATTTTGGATTATAGTAATTTTAGGTTAGTATTTATAAAATATTTATATTTATAAAATAGTAAGTTATTTTAATTTTACTTTTTTTTATAGAGAATAATGAAAAAATTAAAAAAAATTAGCCTATAGTTCCTATTATACTTTTAACTGCTACATATATATATGCGAATTTCAGGATATTTGCATATCACTTAAAATTTCACTAGAAAAATTTCTATAATTCGAGACTCATCTTTTGAATGTAAAGAAATTGTTATATAAGTATACAAAAGAAAAGATAATCGTCAAAGTTTTTTAAATGGTATTATAGATCTAATTAAATAATATAAAACTAGAAAAATTATTATTTATTATGCAATATGATCAGGATATAATAATTTTTTTGCAATATTGAACTACTTTTGCTTTAAATATATATTATAGAGGATTAAAAGATGAATAACATAAAAGTATTATATCATATTGGGATAGTAATACATTATATAGCATCTTTAAATATGGGTAAATAAATCATCACATTTCATTATTTTTTAATATAATTCCTTTTTAATTTTATGTAGTAAATCTAATATAACATTGGGTAAGTAGGATATGATAATAATAAAATTAAAAATATTATATTCTATACATTAAAAAAGAATTTAAGAACAAATGGAAGCTTTGCAATAGAAGGGAGAAAATGCTAAAAAAACCTTTTTTTGAGTTAATGTTAAATCTGAACTTATTTTACAAAAAAAATATAATTAGCTTAGAAAGTAAAATTTAATTTTTTTAGAGTTTCCTTCTTTTCTATTGCAAAGCTCCCAAATTTTGGAATCTTAGCTAAAAATTATGAAATGTGAATATTACACTTATTTCTCTTGATTGTAAAATATTAAATAGGTTACAAAATACTCAAAATATGACTGATCAAAAATGCAAACGAAAACATTATTTTGATATTAGTTTATATAAAATCTATGAAGTTTTTTTATTTTATCAAAACTAATATGACTGCTAAAATCAAATACTTAGTTATTACTATCTTTAAAATAAGTATAATGTTCTTCCTGCTAATTTGAAATGTGATAATTGTAAAAGTCAAATAAAAGAAAACTAACTTATAAAAATTGCATAAATAATGATTGTCATTTATTGAAAATTTTTGAGGAAATAATTAATAATAATTTTGAAATCATTAAAGATAATGTAGTAGAAGTTTTTTGTAAATCAAATACTAAAAAAATTTATGAATTAGAAATTGAAGTATATAAAAATAATCAAAAGCCAAAATTTGAAAAATCAAAGTGTTAGCTGATTATATGATTGCAGATTTAGTAATATATAATTATATTTACAAAAAGCCTCACTTTACTATATTTATAACAAGACTTGTAGCTGAAGCAAAAGTGAGAATTATTTAAGATTTATTATATTATTGGATATATAAAAAATGAATAGTTATTTTTGTATATACTATATATAAAATTTTAATAATTAAAAGGGTTAAATATTATTATTATTATGTATTATTTGAAGAAAAATATATACATTCTATATTCTTTTTTTGTTTTTATATTGTAACAGATAAAAATTTTCCCTAAAAAAATTTTGATGATCTTAATGTCAATTTTATTTACTTGCAAATCATTTTACAGATTCTAATATTTATTTTTTTGATAATCAATGTAGATCAATTTTGATCCAAATGTCAACTTAATTTTTAATGTAATAGGCAACTTTATTGACATGATCATCTCACTGATCAATTTTGTCAACTTTATTTCTTAGTAATTAATTTTATTTTCATAAATATATTTAGTTTAGTTTATTTTATTAATTATTTAACATGTATAAATATATTTGTATTTTTAATAAGTATCAATATCATAAATAATTCTATCAATTAATCTATATTTAAGAAAGAAGTAAGATTAATATCATACTAGATAAGATTGATTTTTATAATACTTTCATATAAAGAACTTACTTTTATTATTATATTAATAAAAAGTATAATAATTAAGTAAAACTTATCCTTTACAACTCTTTAACCTATTTGTAAATTTATATTATTTATTAAATTTGTATAATATTATATTAATTTATTATATTGACTTAAGGTTTAGTCACTAGAACATAATCTCTAAAATATCTAGAAGTTACTTATGTTTAAATTGAGAATAATCTTTAATAATACTGTGAATCTTTACCTTTAATTCCTTGAGTTTAGTCTTAGATTTATTTATTCTTAATGACTTTAATTTGAGTTACAAATCAGATGTAACAATATAGAAAAATATTTACTGGTATATATCAATATATAAAACTTATAGAATATATCTAAGATTTTCTAGTCACAAAAATATATATTCCTAATCACAACTTTATAGAATGGTTTTAAAAAATTTTTTTATGAAATAAAGTCTTATAAAGTGAAATATATAAAATTTATGACAATTACTTTTTTGTTATATAAATTTTATCTTCTTATATTAAATATTACAGAAGTTTATATTATGCAAAAAATTGTGTTACTAAGATAAATAGATTTCTTTTTTTTCTTGTTAATATTGATTTAATTTTTTTTGATTATTATAGATCTTTCTTCTTTTAATTGTAGACTACTTTAAATAAATAGTTTTATTTTTTTTTTGTCTAGATGGTTTGCTATTTATAAGTAAGTGGGATTGTGAATTTTTTTTATTTTTATTGTATTTTTTATAATTCAGATTTAGTATTAATATTTTTTATTTATTAATTATTATTCTTCAGTTTTTCACTTGAATTACTAGGAATTATTATATTATATGGATAGTATTCTATTAAAATTGAGATACAGATCATATGATTTACTATATCTTATAACCCACTTTTAATAGATCAGCTCCCATATTTTCGATTTTATTATTTCTTTTTTTGATTTTATTAACTTATATTTTAGATCTTTTAGTAATTTCACTTCAGGCTAATTTAGATAAGTGAAATTTATTGTTTTATATTTTCATTAGTTTTTGTTTATTAATTTTTTTTTAGATTTTTTTGTAATTCTTCACTTTGAATCGATTTGGATAAATGTGATTTATTTTGTTTTTTATTTTTAATAATTCTTTTTTTAGATCAGGTTTTTCCTTTAGTATCACTTTAGATAAGTAGGAATTTTTTTTTTATTTTAGTTTTTATTATTAATGATCTTCTTTTTTTAAATAAGTTTTTACTTTAAAACTATTTTCAGATAAATAAGATTATAATTTTTTTTGTTTTATTATTTACTTTAGATAAGTGATTTTTTTTTTAATTTTTGATTTTTTAATGATCCTTCTTTTTTTAGATTAGGTTTTTACTTTAGGGCTGCTTTCAAGTAAGTAAGATTGGAATTTTTGATTATTTTTTTATATTATTATTATTGTTTATGTTTAGATCCTTAGATGGGTTTCACTTCAAATAGTTAAGTAAGGTTTTCATTTTTTTGTTTTGTTAGTATATATTATTAATTTTTTTACTTTATTTTTTAGATTTTTTTAGCAGTTTTTCACTATATGCCATTTTAGTAAATGGGATCTTTAATTTTTTCTTTAGATCTCTAGTTTTCAGTTTATAATGCAGGTGATTTTCAGTAAGTTTGTTATAGTATTTTCTTTATTTCATATATTAATTAAATATTATTAATGTTAATTATTTTTCGATTAGACTAGTAGCGATTTTTTATTCGATTTTATTTATAGAAAGTTTTATTTATTTAAATTTTTTGTGATCTATTCAGTTTTTCAGTTTGAATATACTTATAATATTTGTTTGTTTTATTTTCTACTGTATTGTTATTTTTGATTATTTTATTTTTGCTTAAAGTAGCAATAAAAAAATAAAATATTGTTATTTTTTTATTATTAAATTTCAAATATTTTTTACATAGTTTTGGGATTAGACTATTTTTTTCATGTAAGTTCTAATTTATATTTTCTTTATTATTACTGAATAAATTAGAATTAAAAATTCAATTTTTTTTAATTTTTACCAAACAAATTCCATATTAAATTGTTTATTCTTTTTGACTGACTTCTTAATTAACAAAAAAAATGAAATAATTTTATCCTGTAAAAATGAAAATTTAAATGTACTTTTTGTTTCTACTTTACTATCACTTCTACCTTAACTTTTACCTCTATACCTGTTTTCACCTTCATTTCTATATCTGCATCTGCTTTTATCTCTGCCACTGTCTCTATCTTTACATCTGCTTTTTATCTCTTCTAGATCTTTGAATAAAAATGATCAAAGATCAATCAAAAAATATAATCAAAAAGTTAAAGAATAATGTTGATAATAACATTAAAGGATTACCAAATAAATTAAAACAAATAATTTTAAAATTGATAAATATCCTATACAAAATTATTTTAAGATATAATATGACAGAATCCTGATTATGATAAATGAATTTTGCACTTTGAATAAATTCCTTTTTTACTATCGCTGCTATTCCTTTTGCGCGATTATTAAGTTATGATTGTGAATATTGTTCTGCAGATTTGATCAAATATTGCTTAACTCGAGACTCTCTAAGTTTTTGAAGTTGTAATCCAAATAGTAATGGTCCAGATAAAAACTATTTTTATTCGAATTTATATTTATAGCCTATAAAATAAAATTTGTTTAAAAAAAAAAAATAATTATAAAAATATAATAATGATATTTTAAAATACTGTGCCTTGTTATAATCTGTTGCAATTTTGCTTGCCGATTTATTTGATTTAATTACATGTTCAAAATCAGAAACAAATAAAATTTGAAATTCTGGATTTCCATTTTTATATTTAATCTTACATTGAACTGTTTGCTGATTCTTTCCACGTCCCCAAGTAGCTTTTATTGAAAGATTATCAGGAATTGGATACTTTTTTAGGAAGTAAAGTATAACAAAGTTCAGAAATTTTTGGATAAAATCCTTCGGCTTCTATAAAATAATTAAAGGTTCGTTGTGTAATATTATTTTTTATTTCTTTATATGTAATTATAGGACATTCAGGATAATCGCCTAACTTATAAGTTTTTATTTTCTTTGCTTCTTCAAAATTTTTAAATTTAAAAAATAATTTTTAATTTTTATAATAAAAATACAATCGTAAAAATATGATAAATTATTTTATTAAAGAGGATCAACAATTGCGACATAATAATTACAGGTAATTATCAATGTCAAATGACCTGCCCTAGTCTGTCTTATTGTCAAAAAATTTCAGGGTATTAAAATCTGTTATGCATATTAGCCCATATGACTTATGCATTTTTCATCTCTTAATTGATTATATTGTAAGGATTTGATGAAACGGAACTTTTTGGTACGATTTGCGGTGCAAGAAAATGTAGAAGAAACAAACCCTCGAAACGGAGGATTCACAACCATAGTAGCCGCACTTCGGGAAGACATGGCTTGAATGCCAATGCCCTATAAAAAAAGATGATCTGTGTTTTGAATCCCATGACTTCCGTGGAGGGCTCATTTTCACGGAATTTATAATCTTAAATCACGATAATTTTCATATCAATTATACGGATTCTCATTTTCACGGAAATTTCGCGTAAGCCACGGAGAAATAATGAAAATATTCGGACAAAATTTTTTATAGGAATGAATATAGGTTATTTTAGAAAAGTCACAAGGAGCGAGTGATGAGGTTTCTGGAACATTGTGAAATGACAGATGAACGGATATGTTGGTGAACTTCATTCATTTCCTGCATAATTTTATATGTTCCTATTGTTTCGTGATCTTTCGATGTCTTCCCGAAAATAACAAATTATTTAATTTTGGTTCATTATTCATTATATTTCTTAGCCATATCCACAGCATAACGATAACATTTAATTAATAAATATAAAAAATTTCTCTTTTTGGAATTTTTTGCCGCGTGAAAAACTTATGTTGTCAAAATATACAGAACCAATAAAAATTCCTTCAAAATCATCGAAAAGTTGTATCACCATGGATTGTCAACAACAATATGAAAAAATTTTCTTATTGTTACATTATTTAAAATTGGTACAGATCTGCAAGTAAATTCCCACGATCGTATATGATATAAAAGTAAAAAATTTTTTATTTCGCTTCGCTTTAGCGTTGTATTTTACAACAAATTTTTTGGGAAATAAAAAAAATGACTTGCAAGAGTTTGCGTTAATTCTTTACTGCTTTTG